GACTATCATGAATGCTACAATTTCTTAGAAGGAATATTTGCTGGGAGGAAATTGATCCAAAAAAGCTCAGCTCTTCTCTCGTAAAATTAAACGTCAAAACTAAACACCATCCATTGACCTGAGCCATTACCCCGAAACTATGGTCTCTAGGTGGACTCTTTTCAGTTTGTCAAAGCTGGTGTTGTGGCTTTGTCACCAATTCCAGTCCGCTAGTTTGCAGCAGAGGTCAATAGATGGTGTCTCTTGATTGATCCAAAAAAGCTCAGGGCTCCTGTCAAATTAAACGTCAAAACTAGATACCATCCATTGACCTGAGCCATTACCCCGAAACTATGGTCTCTAGGTGGACTCTTTTCAGTGTACCAAAGCTGGTGTTATGGCTTTGTCACCGACCCAAGGCAGCTAGTTTGCAGCAGAGGTCAATAGATGGTGTCTCTTGATTGATCCAAAAAAGCTCAGGGCTCCTGTCAAATTAAACGTCAAAACTAGATACCATCCATTGACCTGAGCCATTACCCCGAAACTATGGTCTCTAGGTGGACTCTTTTCAGTGTACCAAAGCTGGTGTTATGGCTTTGTCACCGACCCAAGGCAGCTAGTTTGCAGCAGAGGTCAATAGATGGTGTCTATTGATTGATCCATAAAAGCTCAGGGCTCCTGTCAAATTAAACGTCAAAACTAGATACCATCCATTGACCTGGGTCATTAGCCCGAAACTATGGTCTCTAGGTGGACTCTTTTCAGTGTACCAAAGCTGGTGTTATGGCTTTGTCACCGACCCAAGGCAGCTAGTTTGCAGCAGAGGTCAATAGATGGTGTCTTGATTGATCCAAAAAAGCTCAGGGCTCCTGTCAAATTAAACGTCAAAACTAGATGCCATCCATTGACCTGGGTCATTAGCCCAAAACTATGGTCTATAGGTGGACGCTTTTCAGCGTACCAAAGCTGGTGTTGTGGCTTTGTCACCAACTTCAGTCCACTAGTTTGCAGCGGAGGTCAATAGATGATGTCTCATTTTGTAGTTTTGACGTTTAATTTGACGGGATGAGCTTTTTTGGAACTTCTTAGAAATGACTGAAATTACTTACTGTATTCGGTGGTTGTTATCTTTTAAATCATTCCATCTTGATGAGGTTACTTGGCCAACGGAATTCATGTTTCTCTAGAAACACTTATGGTCAGAAAAGTTATTTAGGTTATCATTGTTCCTAAAGGACAATTTGGCTCTGCAATTAGATGTCTTTTACAGGGAGGTTCTACTGTATATATAATTAAAATATTGTATTTGAGATTTCTGGTACGCAATAGGTCATTTTTTAGGGATATTTTGCTGTGATCGAAATTATTATTTTTTTTAATGAGTTGAAGATGTTGTGTCTATAAAGAACCCTATTTGTCCTTTGGTTTGTGAAAACAAGAAGTTTTTCACTTTTAGAACTAAGAAGCCCTATCTGCCCCAGCTCTAGATGGCCAAAACTTGTCAGAGTTTTAGAAAAAGAGAGATATTAATAAATTGATAATCTTACCTTTCAAAAAGATGGAAGTTTTATAAAAAATAAATTAAAATTTACAAATTGTGTAAATTAAAAGCATTAATTCTTTTCTTTGCAGACTCATCTACATATAAGACTATAACTTAATAAAGGGGAGTATTTTGATGTGTGCCTCCAGGAAAAAAAACCTACTATGTAAAAAATGTTCTTAATGTGTAAGAATAGTGTGAAAAAAATCTTGTTCAATAAGAATAGAATTGTTCTTAAAAATTGAGGATACTTCAGCCAGTAAATATTATTATTTATCTCAATGTTTCGACAAAAATCTTTTGTCCTCGATTGTCTTTCGATTTTTATCGAAATGTCGTGATAATAAAAAAGATTTACTGGCGAAAATATCTTCAATTTTTAAGAAATATGAATGTCAGACAGGCAGCCTCTATATTTACAATAAGAATAGTGTGATGGAATTACAAATAATTCCTTAGTTTTTGATGATACTCGTTGCACTTCCACCAAGTTTGCTTTTGGAATTCATTTTATCTCTTTGTAGACATGTGGTGCGCTTACAGTAAAAGCAGTCACTAACTACCCTCCTTGATTATCATGGCCTGTACCATGTGTACTAAGGATAAGCAAAAAATATATATATATATCTCTTTGAATGCTCTTTTTGTTCTAATAGACAATTTTTTTTTTTTGAAGATTAAAAAATGGGCACAAATTCTCTCAGTGCTGTAAATACATTCCATTTTTTTGGTTTTTTTTTCTCAAACATCTCTAAAGTATTTTCCATATATGTGATGTGTTGACTAAATTTTCACAAAAGTTTCATATCAGAAATGAAAAATTCTCTTTCTAGAATGAATTTGACAAATTTTACCCCAAATGTTTCTTTTAAATGAAAAATCTTAATTTTATTTTAAGGAGAAATAACGATTATTTCTATCCTTAGGGATGAAGTATGAAAGGATGAATTGTGAAGAATAATGATAAATTCCCATCCCAGGTCACTCTTATTTTTCCGTTTATCATTACTCTTCACAATTCATCCTTTCATACTTCATCCCTAAGGATAGAAATAATCGTTATTTCTCCTTAAAATAAAATTACGAATTTTCATTCAAAAGAAACATTTGCGGTAAAATTTGTCAAAGTAGTTCTACAATCATAAGACGCATTATATTGTATTATAAATTCTCTATTCTCTGTACAGAGCATTTATATCTATGATAAAGTGCCAAAATGATCTGTGAAATGGTTCAACAATATTGTGTGGATTTTTTAATTGATAGATAAAATGAAGTACAAGAAAATCACCTTTATCACCATTCTTTATATTGTCGTTGACATTCTTATTGGATACACAATTTGAGATATTTTTAAAGAATCATTTTTTTTTTATATTTATAAAAAAATCCATATCGTATCCATCTATATCACTTTCTTTTTTTTCAAACTTAAAAATTTGTTTGAGTCAAAAGATAATCCATTAAATAAGTTTATACAAAAAAAAAAGGGCATTCCTGGATCTGTAAAGAAAAAAAAAAAATGATAAAGAGGGAGCAATATCTCGAAATATTTTGAAAAAAAAAATTTTTTTTTTTTCTTTTACAGATCCAGATACGCTCTTTTTTTATATAATCTTATAAATTAGACATAATTCTTTTTGTTTTTCTTCTAATCACATCCCAATTGAAAGCAAATAGTATAATGGTTATATGGCCATAACATGACATCTATATATAAGAAGCATCAGACCACGAATGTTTCTTTTCAAATATAAAACTTTTACATTTTCATGAAAAGAGGGGCATCTCCTTATTGTGCAACTGAATCTCTATATGATCATTTTGGATAAATTTATTTGATTAACAATTTTTTTCTTTTTCAGATATAAATATTTTAACAAAAGACATGCATGTAGCATAAATATATGAAATAAAATAAAAAATTGTGTTAAAAAATGCTAAGTGAAGTTTTAGCAATATTTGTTAATGAAAAGGATGCCATCTATCAACCATGGAGAGAATTACTTACTGATATAATTCCTAGTCTAATTAAACTGGGTCATAGTTTCATTATCTTTTCCTGAACTCTTTGTCAATTTGAATGCCAAAAGTTGCTGATGGCTTGCACCATCTATCGGAATAAATATCAACTATTCTCGTTGATTTTTAATTATTCCAGAATTGGCCAAATACCCATTCTTGATTAATCAAGAAAAGTCTATATTTTATCACAATAAGGATAATAGAAGTTTATTTTATATTTGAATAGAAACATTCATGCTTTGGTGATTCCAATTCTTCGTTAGAAATTACTTTAAAGAAAAAGAACCTAACATTCCAAATTGAAGAATCAAAAAAATAATGCCAAACATAAACTCTTTAGGAAAAATTGCTGGATATCATTGCTAAGACAAAAGCTTAACAGCAACAAGTTTCTTTATAATAATGAAAATCAACGATTTTTTTTATCTTTGTTCTTTTCTTATAAATTATTTTATTACAACAATCTCTGTAGAGATGATATATGTGAGCAATAGTTACCCAGAAATTATTTGAAAAAGGAAAAATTAAAATCAGGTATAAAAAGTTTCTTTTAATTTTGAATTTGCAAGTTTTCGAGGAAATATACTGTTCTTCAACGTGCTAATACTCTATGTTCAATCTCTAAATAACCTTTATACAAAATAATTGAAAAACTTTTGTTATTGGCATGTGTGGGTGTGCATCAGATTGCTCACAGCTAAAGTAATAGATATTATACTGGGATGAAATATATATATATACACGGAAATAATTAATACTATTTAGATAATTAGTCAGGGATATTGTTATATTGGGTTATAGACAGTATATTATTATATTTATATAAAGTCACATGTATTATACTTATTTTCCATATGAAAAAAATCATTTTGAGGCAAAATAATCTTTCAGAAAAATGGTTAAAATTTGTGTGTGAATACCATTTGATTTCTCTATATAATCTTTTTGGATAAATTTATTTGATTAACAAATTTTTTCTTTTCAGATATAAATGTTTTAATAAAAGATGCATGTAGCATTCAATATGTGAAATGAAAGAAAAAATTGTAGAAAAAAAATGCTAAGTGAAGTTTTAGCAATCTTTGTTAATGAAAAGGGCGCCATCTATCAATCAAGGAGAGAACTACTTACTAATATAATTCCTAGTCCAATTAAATTGGTTCATAGTTTCATTATCTTTTCCTGAACTTTTTGTCAATTTGAATGCAAAAATTTCTATAACGGAGCACCGAACCCTTGTTGTTACTTATCCTCTTGTGCAAAGATTATACAAAATTCCATGAGTCCATGCTCCTCCAGCTGCACTGAACCCTAGATTATCTGAATGCAATCCAAATGTTTCTGAACTCACTACAGTAGAATCTCTTTCTAGCTGCAAAGCCAACATATCCTTAAGAGAGAGGTGTCATCATATTGAAAAACAGTTGGTAAAAATGATAAAGAACCGTTTCAAGCTGAAATAACTCAGTTCGGAGAGCCTTAGACTGAAAATCTAAAGGTTCCTGGTTCGATCCCAGGTTTCAGCATCTTTTTTTTTTTTAGTTGTTAAAAATGTTAATTTTGGCAATGAAAACTGCCCTTTGTATAGAGGATAAGCCAGGAGTGTGCACTCATGGAGTTTCTACTTTATTGCTCCTATAGAAAACTTCAAACATCTACTTGGAAGCATTACCAACCATGTTGATAATAACAGAACAAGATTAATCAAACTGAAAACTAAAGAAGCTTGTTCAAATGAGCTTATACTCTACTCATGATGGGCAAAGACCCTGAAAAGGAGATCTAGAGTTGACATATCCTAGGTTTAAGAGGTACCATTATCAATTATAGCCCCTCTACTTCTTTCTTAGCTTTCACTTGCATAAGGTTGCCAACCCCTTGGAGCTTATTGACAGAAAGAAGTGAAATGCATCGTGTACAAATAATAATCGCCTAATACAAGGTAGACCAAATCCAAATAAATTTTGTGCGCCCTTTTAGTATCACTGTTTATAGATACAAGAAAATAGGACCTAATCCAAATAACAATGCTGTTACCTAAACGTCACACACAATTAAATTATTTGGATTAGGTCTTATTTTCTTGTATCTATAATCCAAATTGTGCTTTGTCGTAACACTGTTTAGTAACAGTGTTGTTATCGAAACATCACACACTATTTATTTGGATTTAATCTTATTACCTTGTGTTGGATGATTATTCTTTGTACAAGATGCTTTTCACTTCTAATCTATAACCCAAATTGTACCTAATTAATAATCACCTAGTATTTTTGAAAAAAAGACATCAGGCTTCTGGGTGAAGTGCGTCAATTATTGATTATTAAGAAAAGTTTTTAAGCACAATGCTCTTTTACTGATAGCAGTAGATAAGTATGATGCTTGAATGCTTGCGTCTTCACCACTAATAAAAAAGACACATTTTGCCCAATACAATACATCCCAATGTATTTTTTGCCCAATACATCTGCTTTTTTGCTAAGACATTCTTCAGTAGCAGGCCGACTTAACTCCAATATTTAATGGCCGCCTCTGACATGAGCAACAGATGTCATGTGCTGTACAGAAGACATCCTATGTCTCTGAATCAGGAGCTTTTACAAGGTATACTAGCAATCAGACCATCTGAACCTAGCTTCTAAGTGAGCATGTTACTGTTCTCTTTTTATCTAGGTTTGGCAATGGTGGAGTCATTATAGTCTTCTTCTTTCTTATCTCCACTCAATCATATTAGGGTATAAAGCTTGTAAAGCTTGACAACCATCATGACTGGGTGAAGTAAAATGCATCTGTCTTTGTCATTAAGACTGGGAGCACTACTCAGTGGCAGACCGAATTAGCTCCAAAAGAAATGACTGCCTCTGACATGAAAAACAGACGCCATGTACAGCCACTACTAACATGGAGTACAAATGCTACTCATCCTGTATCCCTGTATTAGGAGCCCTTACAGGGTACTATCAGCCGGGCCAGCTGAGCCCAGGTTTTTTAGCGAGCTTGTTGGTGCTCCCCCTCCTCCTAAATCCGGGCTTGGGACTGTCAAAGACGGAGTTGTCATTATAGTATCTGTCTGTAATTGATAGTTGGTACTATAAAAAAAAACTTGTTAATGCTTCACTTAGCATCTTGGTGCAAATTCTTTTGTTGTGATTTCATCTTTTTTTTTGGTTTTTAAACCTCTATATATGAATCATCTCACTGAATGTTTGTGAATGTTGTTGCATATTTCTATATTTTCTTTTACTATATTTCACTGATTAATTAAAAAACAAAAAACTTGTATGTTGTTTCCCCTAAATGTTGCATGCACTAATAATTTTGTGAATTGTTAACTCTATATATGTGCAAAAATTACAATGTGTGTTTTAAATCTATTGTTAAAAAAACTCCTTTTTAAAAAAGTATTACCAACTAGTTTTTAAAAATCAATGTGAACTTAAAAAAAAAAAAAATAAAAATAAATATATTGTGTGTTGAGCTCCTGTTATAAAAAGGATCATGCCTCAACTTTTAATATCTTGTTATCTTTTCTCTTCATTCTCAATGTTTGTATAGAGGTTGACTTATAGAGTTCTATCTGTATTATAAAATGTTATATATGTCATAGATTTTCTTTTCTTTTAAACTTATAGCTGTTATATACATGTGTATGCACTTAATAGTCAATGGTTTCCTTTGCGGATGTGTGAATGTAAATAAAAATATTTTGTATTTATATCTAAGGAATGTTTTTTTTTTTAAATGTTATAGATACACAATTCACATGTTTATTTGAATAACCTAGTGACCCTCTAGACCAGGGTTTGGCAACCTGCGGATCTTGAGCCACATACGGCTCTTTATATAGTTCCATATGTAAATATTATTTATGAGAGTACTATTTATTGTTGGCATGAACAAAAATTGTGGCTCTTTAAAAATTTGAATATTTTTACAAGAAAATAAGACCTAATCCAAATAATTTTATAGCATTTGACATTTCGGTAACAGCATTGTTACCATCATCATACAAAAGAATAAAAAAATATATATATTTTGTCTGATGATGATAAGATTTTTAAAATTTTATTCTTTTGTCTGATGATGGTAACAATGCTGTTACCGAAACGTCACACACTATTAAATCATTTGGATTAGGTCTTATTTCTTGTATCTATAATTTATAATCCAAATTGTGCTTTATTAACTTTGTAAATTGTAATTTTTGACTCTTCCGACTCAAAGGGTTGCAGATCCCTGCCCTAGACCATATTGATCTAGTGACTCCTATCTGTTAATGTCCTTAGTAGTGTGCTAATTCTTTTATGCATTGTTTTAAAGACCAATTTGTAAGACCACACTAAATGGAAAATATTGTGAACATCTAATTCATCAGTGGTGAACCTTCCAAGCGGTATCTTCCAGACTGTTGCATTCATTCATTGTACAGAGGGTATTCCATTTTCAAAAGAACGATTTTGTAACGCTATAGCTGACGAAAGAAGTTCACGATTTGAGTGATGTTTTATTTCAAGCCATGTAAGGGAAGGAAGGACTACAGAGTTATCATTTACACTGATGTCCGGAAGGTTGGTAGCTTTTGACAAAAGTACGGAGTGCACCTAGAGTGTAGTCCTCCAGTAATCCTAGAAGTCTACGCCGTCTCTTAGAATTTCCCGGCTCCACACGAAGTTGGCTCATAGAAGAAATATGAGATCGAATGATGTTTTAATCATTCGAAAGAACAAGCATAGATTTATATTTCATGGAATTTTTAAGCATTCGAAATACCTAAAATTATAAATGTTTTTGTAAAAAGTTACGTTTTAAGACTTTTTAAGAGAAATACTCTCGTTTACCCAGATTATTAAAATTATAAAATGAAATGAATATTGATATCAAGTGCACAATCTCGGTCAAATAATAAAAAAAGTAAAACAATTTTTAAAAAAATATTATTCTTATGAAAAAGTACCTGTGAAGAAACCTTTAACTCCAACCGAAAGATTCTCAATGCAACATTTTCACAATAACCAACGTACCACTTTCTACCTTAACCGTATTATCGGGAAAACAAAAACGGTTTAAAAATAGCTAAAAAAAGCTAAAGTTCATGTTCTCAAGCCGCACCATATCGAGGATCGCAAGACCAGCAGCAGGGCCCTTTATAAAAAGTACCTGGCAGGTGAAAAAATGGAAAAATGTTGTTACACTGGAGGAAACATGGATTTACCTCAATGATAGCAACCAACCCTGTGCCATTTACTTACGATAACTCTCAAATAAATACATTTCATAATTGTTGTGTGTCGAGAAATGCAAGGGAAGTTTCTAAAAGGACAAAATATCGTTGCAGGTTCTGCTACAAAAATGGGAAGCCTCCTATAAGAAATCTCCCGTCAGAATAGACACTAAAACTAGGTATCATCTATTGACCGCCTCTGCCATCTATATTTTTGCTATAGATTTGGTCCAGCCACTCTTCCAGCTAAACACCTCTTTGGCAGATGGTGAAGATTTCATTAGATCCCCTGTGGATATCTCGAAACAAAGTCCTCTCTAGATTGAAGAGGGTCATTAGCTCGAAATTATGGTTTCCAGGTGGAAGCTTCTCAGTTTGCCAAACAGGTGTTGTGGCTTTGTTATCAACCTGAGTCTGCTAGTTCGCGAAGACGGTTGGCGCTTAGTCTTAGCGTTAATTTTGACGGGAGAAAAACGACCTTTATATTTTAGATCAATAGATTAGTTAGGGAGTTGGTTGAATAAACCATCGATTTTCTCGACAGTCATGACCAAGATCGAATCCCACATTGGCTACTTGAAAAAAAAAATCTTTAATGGATCCCGATTCTTGCAAGAGTCCAAACCCATCAGTGAGTGAAAGTAACCAAAGAGAGCTTTGGTATACTTGTAAGTTATGATTCATTAGCGCGCCATCTGTTATGAAAATTTGAAACTATTATAGACTCGTATGATTCTTTTACAAATTAAACATGGGAGACCCTCCCATTAATTTTGCCATTGCAGTAAGGGTAGTAGAAATTGTTCAATTTGTAAAAGAATCATACGCATTTATAATAGTTTCGAATTTTCATAATACTTGTAAGTGCAAAAGGCGAATTGCTTTCTATATATGTAAACATATGTAGTACACACTTGCAGTAAAAACATTTACCAACCACCCACCAGATTATGATGGTCTGTACACGTTGTACAAGCCATGATTACTTGCAGGATTTGGAAGAGAAAGTGGAAGGGGAGAACAACCATGCAAGAAACCGTTGTTGTGTTAACACTTTGTTAGATGGCAAAAAAAAAAAAAAAATCTATATCTGACAATAAAGACCGTAACGTAAAACTTTTTTTTTCTTAAAAAGTATACACTTCGGCCAGTTAAAGTTTCATTTTTTCAACATTTCAGCAAAAATATTTTGTCTTCGTTAGGAGAAATAGAAATAAAGCATTTTGCAAGGCGTTAAAAAAGAGAATAATTTTTAACGCCTTTCAAATGCTTTATTTTATTTCTCCTGACGAAAACAAACATTTT